TGTTGTTCTAGCTGATTCACCAGCTTCAGCTGCACCCAGGGCTTGGGGTTGGCAGGACCCGCGCCACCTGCCGGCCTCACGGAACAGAGGGTCCTGGCGCTCGCTTACCTCCATGAGGCAGAGCAGCTGGATCTTCCTCAGAAGCTGAGCTTCGTTGGCGGCGAGATCGGGCTGTGAAGGAGAAAGACAGGTCACCTGCAGGTGGGACAGAGACAGGCGGGCCCTGCACAGCACTGGCCCGGAGGCTCCAGACCAGCATCAGGTCCCGGGCTTCACTTTTTGTAGGAAATGACTAGAACAGCGCCCAGCGGGAGGCTGTTTCCCAAGACAAGGACCTGACCAGGCAGGGCTGTACTCCTGTCAGACAGCAGGGGGCGGCCGCGGGGCGGCGGGTGGGCCGGAGCCTGAGGAGCACTCCTCAGTTCCAGGGACTTGTCCTGAGGGAAGACAAGTTCCCAGCTTCCCTGGAGGCAGCCCAGGCAGACAGTCATCTGCTGAGCTCAGAACTACACCCAAGACGGGTTCGTGACCCCAACCCCGCTCCTCTCTCCGCATGCGCAAGGTCACTCTGTTGGAGGCCTGTGTCACCCTCCCCTGGCACTGTCTGCAGGGCGGAGCATGACAGCTGCACCTGAGCTGCCTGGGGCCTCCTGCCCGGTGAGAGCAGGCTGCCTGCCTCGGTCTCCCCAGCGCCGGCTGGAGAGACAGGCGCAGGCAGCAAGGCCGGGACTGACCTGCTGGCCCCAGGCGGCCTTCAGCGTCTGGAACTGCTCCACGTTGCCGCTGTTGAAGGCATACAGGGTGTCAATCAGCCACTGGCGGTCGGTGCCCCTCAGCGACTCCAGCACGGGGTGCATGAGCTGCGGGACAGAGCCGGTTAGCTGGGAGCGCGCCGTGCCCGTGGTGACGCGTCTGTGCCCAGGGCCCACTTACGAGTTCTCCGAAGTTAAACACTCCCTCGCCGAGAAGTCCCGCCAGGCCCAGCGTGAATGCTCTCTCCTGCTGCTCCGGCACTAGGACGACAACACCCCCGTCACACACGTCACGAGCCCCCGTCCGGCTCGGCCTTAAAGGCCTCACAGGGAGAAGCGCGGCAGCACGTTCTGGGGTGGCCACAGCAGAGCTGACAGGCGCCACCGGTGCCAGCGCTGGGTTCAGGTTACGCGGGACCCGCCTTCACGGGCTCTGTGGGAAGCGCACTCGCTCCCTCACTCCCCCCAAATCCACGTGGCGACCTACAGTTCCCGCTGTGCTCCCGGGCCCTCGGATGGGAGAGCGAGCCCCTTACAGACTTCACTTAGCCCCTATCCACCTAGAATTGGCCTCCTTTGTTCCCACCCAGCAAGCCCCTTGTCCTCGACACAGTGGCTGCCTTGCCCCCGGTGCTGCTGGAGATGCAGTGATTCAACTCACTAACACTTCCAGGAGGTGCTGGTCTCGGTGCTTCCACCGTGAACCGTGAGAAACCTCTAAAATCTGCTGGAATTTCCTTTGTAAACACACACTCACTGCACTCTCCCCAAGACTCTGGTCACTTTTCTTTCCTCCCTCAAATCTGTGAAAGGTTTTTGTCATTCGCTCCCCTGGGCCTAGCATCTGTTTTCAGAGGGTCTCAGGGCGGGGACGGGGTCCAGGCACTGACAACGCCCTGGAGGTGGGGCAGTCAGGCTCATTCCTCCTGAATCAAACAGCAAAGGACGGACAGCGGGGAAACTACGGCTGCCACCACCTTCCCGCTCTGACCACGGCTTCCTGACCAAGGGGTGCGGCCCCCGAGGGCCTTCTGAGACCCGCTGCCTCCAGCCCCTCCCACTGTGGCGTCTGCAGGCCCACCTGGCAGGTCCTTGATGTCGACGCAGCCCAGGAAGCGCAGGGCGTCCTTGTAGTAGGACGCGTGGCTGCCCACCGTCTGGTAGTACTTGCTGGAGAGGTCGTAGAAGCGGCTGTGAACCGACGTCACCCCAGGCAGGTTGCTGAGCATCCCCTCCACATCTTCGATGGTCTCCTGCTCACAGGGAGAGAGGTGGCCTTCCTTTAACTCACAATGTCGTAAGGTGACATGTGACAAGATGAAAAGCACACTGCTCTGCATTTGGGTGTTAAAACAGAACTTCAGCCCAGCCAGCAGGGCTCGGTGGGGCGTCCACCCCTGCACCAAGGAGTTGCCAGTTCGAATCGCGGTCAGGGCACATGCCCAGGCTGTGGGCTCGACCCCCAGAAGGGAGTGTGCAGGGGGCAGCCGATCGATGATTCTCCCTCTCCCTTCCTCTCTAAAATCAATAGGTTAAAAAATAAAAAAGTTCCAGGACAGGAAACGGACATGATGAGGATGCAGAAGAGGCGGGGCAACAGCGTGCGACCGGAAGGGCGGACCCTGGTCAACAGGGGCCACAGGCTGTGCCTGGCGGAGGCTGTGACCCCTGCGGGGCCAGCACGCTGGGTCCTGCTTGCGGGTAATGGCGACTTACCAGCAACTTACCCTCAAGTGGTTTTTGAGGAAAAAACCACACACACAGAATGATGGGCAAAGGGGGGAATGCTAACAACCTGAGGTAAGGGCACAGGAGAGCTTTATCTATTCTTGCAACTTTCCTGTCACTTATTTTAAATAAATAGTTAAAAGAGGGAAAATAGGATTTTCCCCCTGTAGTTTTTATCATTGTTGCTAACCCTCATCTAAGGATATTTTCTCCATTGATTTTTAAAAAGTGAAAGGGAGGGGAAGATCAATGTGAGAGACACACAGGGAGTGGCTGTCTCTCTCACACACACTGACCGGGGCCGAGCTGGAACCTGCAGCACAGTAGGTGCCCTTGACCAGGATTCAAGCCCATGGCCCTTCGTTGCGCAGGCCAGCGCTCTAACCACTGAAGCACTGGCCAGGGCTTAAACAACCTTTTAAACCACAGACAACCCTGTGTGATGGCGAGCTCAGCTCACCTTTGTGACCTGCAGGTCCCCGATGTTCAGCTTCAGGGCGCCGATGGCGGTTTTACACAGGATCACGGCCTCGTCGCTGCTCTTCACCTACAGACGCGGAGACAAGGAACCTCGGAAGCGCGGGCAGCGGACCCACAGCAAGGCCCCCGCACCCTGCGTGACTCGCGTGGGCACAGCCTGGTCTCTAGGGCTGTGGACAGTGAGCACAGACACAAACACGTGTTTCAGAAGGTCTGGCTCAAGCTTCACACGTACCTTCTCACGAGTCTTCTCCAGAAAAGTAAGCGCCACATTAGGATCTAGAAAAGGAAGCAGAACCAGCTCAGAAGCACCACCAACGGGCTCTTTACAGACTGGTTCCTACCAACCAGCACGCTTTTCAGTGGGGTAATCTTCAGGTTTGGAACACAAAAGAAGATAAAAACATTAGAACCGGATATTTTCTATCAAAATGCAAAAAAGTTCCCTTCTGTACGTTTCGAGGCCACGGAAGCAGCTGCCACTTGGACCCGGCCCTGTGAGCAGCGGCCACTCACCCGTCATCTGTCTGACCACGTGGAGGATGATTTCCACCAGGGACAGGGGGTTCACCCTGAAACACAAGCACAGCCGTCAGCACATGGCACCAGCGCTTTCCTTTCCCAAGTCAACAAGCAGAGTTGTACCTGTGCTCGAAGTCACTGATGAAGTTCTCGTACAGCTGTGGAGCCAAAACATGGAGAAAGTCACAGGACGCCTGGCATCTGCAGACCCAGCCGGGACCGCACACGGCGGGCATGTTTCCCAGGAGACCGAGTTTGGTTATTAGGTTCACATAAGCGTTCACCAATGGACGCGAAAGCAAGCTGGGCTGTCTCTAGCTTGGGGCATATTCCGGCTCTAGAAGGGTCTCCTGCAGACCAATTCCCATTTCCTCCTCAAAGCACTGAGTGGAACAGGCCACCAGCACGAGGCCCAGGACCCTAGCAGATGAGAAGACTGCAGGCTCACGAGGTCCCATCTCAGATCCCCAGCCACTCAGCAAGCACCTGGCGCTTCCCCAGGCTCCGCTGGGGCCCTGGCCTCGTGGAGACAAATAAATGGCGTCGCCGAGAACTCAGGAGCAAGGGAAATCAAAGCACACAGGCAGAGCGGCCCAAGGGAGAGGCTCCCCCTGGCTGGTGTGGCTCAGTGGGTAGAGCATCGGACTGCGGACTGAAAGGTCTCGAGTTTGAGTACCGTCAAGGGCACATGCCTGGGCTGAAGGCTCCATCCTGTGCAGGAGGCAGCCTATCGATGATGCCCTCTCATCACTGATGTTTCTCTCTCTCTCCCCTCTCCCTTCCTCTCTGAAATCAATAAAAAAGAATATGTATGTTAAAACAAAACAACAACAAAGGGAGAGGTTCCAAAGGTTATTCCAAAAATGTGATGGGTTCTAAGGAATGCAGAGCAAAGAGGGGGCAAGTTTGGTGCGGGAGAGGGGCAGCTGGAGAACACTCCAGAAGTGCCAGACGGGGGGAGCATGGGCCGCGTGCTGGAGAAACCCGGCCCTGTGTTGCGGGAGTATTTCTGAAGGACAGACAGCGAGTGGGAGGTCAGGGCTGAGCCTCCGCAGACAGGTGCTCACACGCCTGCTCTGACAACGAGATACGGGAGCGTGCTATACGACTGCACGTTAGGGATTTAGAAGACAGAATGTGCATCACTTATTCGCTGCGATCTATGGCAAGTCACGAAACCTCTTGGCCCTGCTTCTACGGCAGAGTCGGGTCACAGCACGGCCGTCTCCCAGCGTTGCTGTGAAGAGTAAATGTGTGAACAGTACCTGACACAGCGACTGCTGACTCAGCATAGCGTATTGTTATTGCAAAGCCCCCCCGCGATCTTAGAGTCTCTGAGCACATTTATGCCATGTGACCTAGCATGGCAAGTCACTTACCTTAATAAGACCATCTCCTTGGGCAAAGCACGGGTCCTGCACAAAGTCAAGCACCTGCAGCGTCAGCTGATGCCACAACCTGAAAAACGTAAGACCGAGAAACTAATGTCCAGTCACAGGCACGGCCAGCCCTGGTGCGGGAGCAGTGACCTCTCCACTGTGTGCCAGGACGGGTGCCAACGAGCCCGCGTTCTTTCCCAGCTCCGCTCCTCCACGGTATGACCCCCGAGATCGCCTCTCCTCTCTGAGACCCAGCCTCCCCAGCGATGAATGGAGAGCCTCTCTCCGGACCACCTCCCCAGGTTCCTGTGAGGTGCGGCTGGAAACAAGAACTCTGGAATGGTGCCTATTCCAGCTGAAACCCCAGCTCTCCCACCTGGCAGCCGAGCGCCTCAGGGAGGGAGCTTACACTGGCTCATTGCCTCATCTGTGAACGGGGTGACTGAGAGCGAGTCCAGGAAAACCTCTGGAACGACAGCACGTTTGAAACCAAAGGCTAGTTTTTACGGATGCAAATAGAATGCCTTGAAAAATACCAAGTGTTGCCCTGTCAGCGTGGCTCAGCGGCTGAGCGTCCACCTGTGAACCACGAGATCACCGTTGATTCCTGGTCAGGGCACATGCCCGGGTTCACGGACTCCACCCCCGGCTGTGTGTGTGTGTGTGCAGGAGGCAGCCAGTGGCTCTCTCCCATCATTGATGTTTCTACACCTCTCCCTTCCTCTCTTCAATAAAAACATATATATTTCTCTAAGTATATTCTCATTTATTTCCCAGGGGAAGGGAAAGGGAGCGTGCAACCAAATGCAGAGTCAACTCGGAAAAGGCATACCCGCGCCGGCCCCCGGCCCCCCACCCCCTGTCCAGGGGGAGC